TTATTGCTGACAACATGGAACGATTGGTCTTGTTGAAAGCTAATGCAGCTTTCCTGCATTAAATAAGCTGTCGGTGACAATTTCCAAGTTTAGTTACTTGTTATAATACTTAGGATTCTTTCATTCCTAGTAATCAGTTACCACAGACTGACTGAAGGATGCAAAACATAAAATATTTTTAATGTTTACTATTCTGTACGCATACTAACTAGACATGGAAAGAATATAAACTCTGGCCAATCCAAGTCGATAATATGAAAATGAAACGAACGGAAACATTTAAGTACTTTGGTGCAAACTTTAACTGCTCCAACATTCTGAGAGAAGAAATACAATCTAGAATACAATCTAGAAATAAAATATACTATGCCCTTCAACATCTGCTAAAGTCAAAGTGTCTGTCTCGCAACACCAAGATCAAAATATATAAAACGTTGATAAGACCAATCATTTTATATGGCTCTGAAACTTGAAGCAGAAATAAAAGAGATGAGGCCTTATTATAGGTTTTCAAAAACAGTCTTACGACAAATCTTAGGACCCATCAAAGATGCTAACAGTGGGGAATGGAGAGTGAGAAGCAACAACGTAACACATAATCTGTTTAAATCACCATTTACCACTGGCATCATGAGAGCTAACAGACTAAAATGGTTGGGGCACACTGAAAGAATGTCAGATAAGTAAAAACTGTATACACCTGAGAGAGGATTGGGCGTAGACCACGAGGCAGACAACAACAAAAAGTTCGAGAGATAATGGCCAGCTTGACCTGCAAACAACTGGTGTCACAAATTGTGCAGAGAAGGCCAGCCAGAGAGATGAATGGAGACGAGTGATATCTGCAACAGTAAACCTCAAGGGCTCAGAATGCTAAAGAAGAAGATGACTATTCTGTGCTATTATGTGAAGTAAAAGGTTCAGCGTACATTTGACATAATGAATGTCCCCCCCCCCCCCCCCCAGATATATTTTATACACTATTCGTATTCGTATTCGACCGAATAGTTGGTCCCGCTATTCGTATTCGGCCGAATAGTGAAAATCACTATTCGGTAAAGCCCTTATATATATATATATATATATATATATATATATATATATATATATATATATATATATATATATATATATATATATTATATATATATATATATATATATATATATATATATATATATATATATATATATATATATATAATCAGGTGCCTTGCCGACTGGCGTGGACGATCATGCTTCTCCATAATCTGCGATCTCCTGCAGCATGTATCAGTTCGTGTGCCGACACACTGCCATGCAACAAGACTGTCAATCATCTTCTCTCGTTGTCTTCGTCTATCCCTCCTTCCACAGATCTTTCCAGTGGTCACAACATGTTCTATTATCCCTCTTCTCATAACATGGCCGAAAAATGATGACTGTTTCCTTGTGATGTCTGTGATAAGTTGTCTTCGGGCTCCCGCCTCTTTCAAAACCTCTTGGTTGCTCTTTTTGGCTGCCCAAGGAATTCTAAGCATTCTTCTGTAAAACCACATCTCTGAGGCCTCAAGAAATTGTTTGGCCTGTCTACCGATTGTCCAGGATTCACAGCCATATGTTAAAACTCGATGTATGTAGCAAGCAAGAATTGTAGCAAGCAAGAATTCTTTTTCTAACTCTCAATGACAAGGATATATTGCACAAGATGTTTTTCATTTTATAAAATGCAGTTTTTGCCTGTCCTATTCTGTTTCTTATCTCAGTTATGCATCTTCCATCTGATTTTATCCATGTGACACACACACACACACACACATATATATATATATATATATATATATATATATATATATATATATATATATATATATATATATATATATATATATATGCTAGTGCTGTACCGAATATTCGTTTCGTATTTGCTTCGGGGCCGAATAGTGGACCTAAAAACTATTCGGTATTTGGCCGAATACTTGCGGTCGGGCCGAATACGAATAGTGTTTACCTTACACCCGTTTCTGCATACACTGCGATGGCCTGAAATAACGCTCTCATTAACATAATAGCTGCTGTTGCCTAAGTCTGTCGTAGCGGGGAAAATTGCGACCCGGTTGCGTGGTACAGCAGCTGGCAGGGTCTTTGCGTGCTGACTCGACCGAGGCATTACATCAGAGGTTCTCAAACTGGGTGCGTATGCCGGGGGGGGGGGCGCAGCGAAAATCAAGAAATGTCGGCTATAAACTGTGGCATTATTAAAGAAGGCATGAAGATACTTAAAAGTTAAAATTCAAATTGTCTCTCCTCGGAACAGTCAAAAAATGTTTGTTTTTTTACCTTTTTTCACACTTCAAGTGCATCAACTGCATAAAATGCCAACCGCAGTGTGTGTGAGTTGTGTATGTGTGTCTGTATGGGTGTGAGTGTGTGTGTGTGAGAGAGAAAGAGAGAGAGAGAGAGAGAGAGAGAGAGAGAGAGAGAGAGAGAGAGAGAGAGAGAGAGAGAGAGAGAGAGAGTTTCTACAGTGGCGGGGGAAGACAACTTAAACTTTAACTTTTAAGTATCTAAGTATCTACATGCATGTTTTAAGAATTTCACAATTTTTAGCCGACATTTTTTTTATTATTGCCGCAGCACCCTTGGCATACGCTCACGGTACCCCGGGGTGCCTCGGCATCCAGATTGAGAATCCCTACGTTGACGCATCGTTTGCCCGACCAGGTGACGTCAGCAGCACCCCACCTATCAGCTGTAGCCGGTCGTGAGCTGGTTGACATTCCAGCAATGCGGCATTGGCAGTAGTAGTAATAGTAGCAAACAAAAGCATCAGCGGCAATGACGATAGTGTTTAAAAAAAAAAAAAGGTTTGGGGCACGTTTAGTCCTGTGTAAGCAATTAATAATTGTAATGTGTTATTTATGACAAAGAACTTGAAAAGTTGAAACTTTTATTCATGCTGAGAAAAAAAAAAAAAAAGGGAAGGGGGATGAAGGGCGGGAAAGAACGCTTATTAATTTAGAGGGGTGAACAGCACACACACAACCCCCCCCCCCTCCTCCCCCAGATCCCATTTCGTGGAGGAGGAGGAGGTGGGAGAGGCTCTTTTAAAGTGCCTAAGGCTCCAAATTCCGATTCTTCTCTAAGGCTCCAAATTCCGATTCTCCTCTATGTGTGTGTGTGCGCGCGCGCATCACACACGTAGGACATAACGACTTTTTCCGGTTATATCCACATTAGATTATCATTTGCTGGCATTGCAATAATGGAAGCCTCTCTGTTTGGCGGAATGTCGGGGAGGTTCCTCTGCCTTGCTTGATCTCTGTGTGACGGGATGTCGGGGAGGTTCCTCTGCCTTGCTTGATCTCTGTGTGACGGGATGTCGGGGAGGTTCCTCTGCCTTGCTTGATCTCTGTGTGACGGGATGTCGGGGAGGTTCCTCTGCCTTGCTTGATCTCTGTGTGACGGGATGTCGGGGAGGTTCCTCTGCCTTTCTTGATCGTGAAGACCTGCAGCGACTATGGGGTGTCTTTGTAAGTGCAGCGGGTACGAGGACAACGTGATGCTGAAGTAAATGCAATACAATGCATTCCTGTTACGAATTCAAATATTAAGGTACTGAATAACAAAACATTAATCCTAGCATCTGAAACATCCAGATCACATTTCCCATTGCTGCTGAGTACGTCTAAGTAACGGAAGTCTAAAATTAACCGTGTGATTACCACGGAAGTCTAAAATTAACCGTGTGATTACCACGGAAGTCTAAAATTAACCGTGTGATTACCACGGAAGTCTAAAATTAACCGTGTGATTACCACGGAAGTCTAAAATTAACCGTGTGATTACCACGGAAGTCTAAAATTAACCGTGTGATTTCCACAGAAGTCTAAAATTAACCGTGTGATTACCACGGATGTCTAAAATTAACAACGTGTTTACCATGGAAGTCTAAAATTAAACAGTGATCTTTACGTAGGAGGTTAATAAACCATGCGCCCCCCCCCCTTCCTCATAGAATAAAGGTTCCTTCTTACGACATTCAATAGTAGTAGTACATTTTACCCCACCAGGACATCATACAAGCGATAAACATCCGATGACACAAAGTGCCACCATGCGGATGAGGATCACCCGTGGAGAGGTCCCAGAAACCGCGTTCAACCATATCAATGGCCGTGCTATATTGCAGCCCCTGGCAGGTGCCAGTGTGGCGTTTCAAAATAACAAAAAATTGCATTCTACAAGGGGATGACTATGATGTATTTTGTATAACACACTACGACATTCAATAATGAGGAACATTGTGCTAGACCAATATTTTTATAGAATTAACGCCACTCGACGGATAATGGTGTCAGCACCATGTCGGCCGCCTTGACACCCTGTGATGCTTTCTTATGCTCCTTTTACGCTTCTTTTAATATGGATGACACATTTTTCTTGTTTATTATGTCCTGCATTAACTGTCTTTTCATTCAGAAATGTTTTCCTATTTAAATTTTTTTTTTAAGTTTAAACAGCTGTTCACAAATTTACAACTATGGGAGGTAATTATTATAAAACAACCATGAAGGCAAAACAGAGTTACCCCTTGCAGCAAAACATGAGCTCTCCGGCCTCATGTGCTTTCAATGCCAATGCATCTTCAATGTTTGTATCCATCTTCGCGGTGGTAGACCCGTGCCTCGCCTTTGACAACTGCACCTTCCATCACCGTATTTTCAAAGCCACCATGGGACTTGATGTAGCTAAAAATACTGGGACAGGATGCTGTTTGTGAGCCAGTTCTCCTTGATGTTCAACTCGTTCAGAATGTCGATGTTTTTGCTCTACCTGGTCCATGGTATTCTAAGAAATGTTCTATAACATGTCAATTCAAAAGCTCCAATTTTTTCTCCAGTGATTGAGTGAGAGTCCAAGACTCACAACCGTAAGTTGCCTCAGTATAATGCATGATCTCAAGATTTTTACTTTAACCAATTTTAAATAATTCACAGTGGATTAAAATTCAGTGCTGAATTATAAACACCTTCTGTGCATAATCGAAGGTCCTTTTTCATCGTACTCCTCCTTTAAAATCCACCGTTGTTGCAAGGTGGACAGGGAACCTAAGATGGAACCACCTATCCAAACAAAATATTTACGATCGTTGAAGTCCACGACATTCACTCTCATGCTTTCAGGAACACGGGAACTGATTTCCTTCTTCATTCGATCGGCGATGCCAGGGAATATTGTGTTGCCACCAGACAAAATGATGTTGTTATAAAAATGTCTACGGGTATCGATGTCACATTCCATGATGCAGTCGTATGTTGCTTCGTGAATTCCAGGCATCTCCAGGCCAAGTAGAGAAGGTTGAAACAGTGGCTCTGGGCATCTAAAGCTTTCGTTGCCAATAGTGATAATTTGGCCATCTGGAAGCTTGTACTTCTCTAGACCAAAAGATTGTGAGGTAGTTTGCATTTCGTGTTCAAAATCAACCGCGACGTAGCACAGTTTCTCCTTGATTTCTCTAACGATTTCTCTTTCACCAGTTGTGGTAAAACTATAACCTCTCTCTGATAATATCTTCATCAGGTATTCTGTCAAGTCACGCCCTGCTAAGTCCAATCTCATGATACCATTAAGTAGCGCACAAGATTCAAAGATAGGAACTATTTGCGTAACACCGTCTCCGGACTCTACCATGACACCAGAGCCGCGACCTGAAGCGTACAATGCAAGTACCGCTTCAATAGAAACGTACATGGCTGGTATATTGAAGGTTTCAAACATGACTTGGGTCATCTTTTCCCGGTTGCCTTTGGGATTTAAAGCCGCTTCTGACAGCAGAATAGGGTGCTCCTCTGGGACAATTCTCAGTTCGTTGTAGAAAGTGTGATGCCAGATTTTCTCCATGTCTTCCCAATTAACGATAATCCCGTGCTCAATGGGATACTTGAGTGTAAGGATATCTCTCTTTAGTTGAGCATCGTCTCCAACATAGCTTTCTTTCTGACTCACATCTATCGTTTTTGTCTGTGAAAAAAGAAATGTGTTAAATAAATTGCTCTCTCATTACAGTTATCACACACGATGAAACAATTTCAATCGAACAACGAAGATCAGACATGTGCAGACAAAATAGCATGGTCACTTTTGAGAGTAGTTTATTTTGTACTTAAGTTAGGATTACTTTGTTTAATTGTTTTCAACAGTTGCTGTAGTAGTATGCACCTAACGATGTAATGAAATATGCCAGGCAATAAATTGTAGTCTATTGTCTGTGTCTTTTTGTGTGTGTTCAAATTTACAATCGAGAAACATGGCTTTGATTTACTAAAATAATTTTATATAATAAGATAAACAGCAGAACAGCAACTGCCAGGATCTGGCCGTCAGGTGTTGGTAACCTTGTAAGAATAGGAACTTGCTTCACTTACCTGCGCTTTCAGATCTACCCAGTCTCTAAACAAGTGCCTCCCCCCCCCCCCACCCCTTCCTTTTTTAAATGCAAAGATATATGGAGGTCATTCTTTCCTCATTTATGATGCTGGGTGGAGCAATTAAGCCCGTAATTTCTGAATTATTTATACTGAGGTCAGATATCTGTCCTCTTGGAAATTAAAAAAGGGGTATCTAGCAAGAGGGATAACAGAAAAGTAAAAAGAAAGAATGGGAGAGATATATACGGGGAGAGAGAAAGAAAGACATAAAAGAGTGACAGAGAAAGGGGGCACATAAAGACAACAGACAGATAGAAAGAGACTATAAATCACAACAAACACTACATCCATTTATCATTACGAGTACTGATATTTAATAAACAGCATGATAAATAAAAATCTTGCATAAACTGACACTCATAGACAAACAGGAAGACACACTCATCACTGTAAAGGTGCAGATAGACCAGAAAGATGTCACAGCCGACATAAACTACAATACTTCGCAAATTCTGCCTGTAATGCGATTGATTAAACACAGGCTGGGGGTTCAGAATTTTGCCCATGTGGGCAGGCACCATACAATGCTGAACATGTGATACAGACATGATCTATACGGGGCAGCAGCGAGATCCCATGTGATACAGACATGATCTATACGGGGTAGTAGCGAGATCCCATGTGATACAAACATGATCTATACGGGGCAGCAGCGAGATCCCATGTGATACAGACATGATCTATACGGGGCAGTAGCGGGATCCCATGTGATACAAACATGATCTATACGGGGCAGCAGCGAGATCCCATTTGATTCAAACATGATCTATACGGTGCAGTAGCGAGATCATATGTGATACAAACATGATCTATACGGGGCAGTAGCGGGATCCCATGTGATACAAACATGATCTATACGGGGCAGTGGCGAGATCCCATGTGATACAAACATGACCTATAAGGGGCAGTAGCGGGATCCCATGTGATACAAACATGACCTATTAGGGGTAGTAGCGAGATCCCATGTGATACAAACATGACCTATAAGGGGCAGTAGTGAGATCCCATGTGATACAAACATGATCTATACGGGGTAGTAGCGAGATCCTATGTGATACAAACATGATCTATAAGGGGCATTAGCGAGATCCCATGTGATACCAACATGATCAATACGGGGCAGCAGCGAGATCCCATGTTTGGCAGATTGGCATTACAATGAAAATAAAGCTGGATAGAACAGTGGAAGACGTGCGACATACCACAGACTTCATAGAGGCCTGTTCCTTCTTATTTGAAAACAAATGGCAGTTAGAACGAGAAGAAGAAGAAGAAGAAGAAGAAGAAGAAGAAGAAGAAGAAGAAGAAGAAGAAGAAGAAGAAGAAGAAGAAGAAGAAGAAGAAGAAGAAGAAGAAGAAGAAAGGAAGGAATGAAAAAGAACCTCACAAGTCGAAGGCTATAATTAATATACTAAGGAATCGAACCTGTTACCTAATTTAAATAAAACGAAGAAGGCACTACATTAAGGCAGCTAGTTGCGTCACCTGGTCTAGTTTTTAGAACGACACACAAAGTATACTTCACCTGGTAACGGGGTCGTCCAACGACACTTGAGAAAACAGCACGCGGGGCATCCTCTCCTGCAAACCCGGCCTTACACATACCAGATCCGTTGTCTATCACAACCACAGTAGCTTTATCTTCGGACATAATGAAATGTCTGTGGATTGGTTATCGACAAGTATAGAGGGACACTGACGACTGCATATCCCCCGAATCTTCGCCGATCCAGCCGATAAATAAACAAACTTGGCCAGGGCAGTATCGGCGCTAAATCCGGTTAAGAATTATGGTTTACCTTCCATAGCTTCAGCTTTACGTATTTGATGTTAGTCGAGCCTAAAGTTGACGTACAGGGGACCTACTGTTTCCTTACATGGCCGTAATGTTTACAAAACAAGTAGGTCATGGTATTCCCTTCGCTAAAATGCAATCGGCTCAAATAAATATTTGTGTATATGTACTAACAGGTTTATGCGTGTATGTATGTATGTATGTATGTGTGTGTATATGTATATATACACTCACACAACCCTCACGTTTTTGTAACTTTCATTTTCAATTGAAAAAACAAGGGGGTGGGGTGGAACTCAATGGTCTCGAGGTTATGGTATCCGCATCAAGTGCTAGAGGTTCCGGGTTCAATCCCTGGTAAGCAGAATTGCCTGGATATGTTTCACCGCAGAATCTGGTGTACGGTAGGGCTGTATCCTGTCTCCCCTTCTCTTCAAAACTCATACTGATAACATTCGTAAAGAAACCACCCAAAACAAGGACTTTAATATTCCCAGGAAATGAAGATCCACAGCCAAACTATTATTTGCAGACGAGCAAGCACTAATTGCTACTTCAGAAAATGAACTGCAAGACCATATAAAATATTTAAACAAAATTTCAAGCAGCGTAACATGACAAGTACCGCCAAAAACATAGAGGTCACGACCATAGCCAAAGTAGACAAAACAATAAATGTCCAGCTTACAGAACACCCTCTGAAACAAACCAAGAAACTTAATTACTTAGGAAGCATAACATCAACAGCTTGGGGGAGGGGCTGCGTGGTCTCGAGGCCTGACGTTTGCCTCGAGTGCTAGAGGTCCCGGGTTCAAGCCCCAGTGAAGGCTGGGATTTTTAACCTAGAATTCTAGTAATTTCCCCCTGGTCTCTGTGTAGTAAGATGGGACGACCGTGTGTACTGTTGCGCACATAAAAAAATCCCTTGGCAGTAAGAATTCGAAAAGAGTAGGCTAACAGCGCTGCCTGGGCAAAATTTTGGAGTTAAAAATCTACTCAAAGTATTTCAAGATCCTCGCCAGTGCAGCGGAGTTCGTGCACTGTGCTGAGACTATTTGGACTCGGGCTTGAGTCAGAAGCAGAAAAGAGCACTTATGGGTTATTACCCTTGTGCTGATCTGTTGTCTAAACCAAATATCATCAGCTGGCAAAACAGAAGATGAGATTGGTAACAGATTAACAAAGCAAACCAACTTATTCGGCAAATGGCACAAATACTAAGAAACAAACATGTATCAATAGAAACCAAAAGGGCACTCTATAATACAATCTTCTTGTGTTAGCAATGCCAAACCTGGACAATGACAGAAAAAGATAAAAGAAAAATTACATCAACTCAAATGAGATTCCTGGAAGGGTTCCCAATATAACAATAACAGATCAGAAACGATTAAATCTGATGGAAAAATAGGAGTAGCAGCGGCTCTGGATTTCATCAGAAGACAACAGGTGAAATGGTTTGGCAACATAACATGGATGTCCAACAGGCAGTACCACAGAAAGTCATGATGAACAGACCAGAGGGGAAGCAAAGTAGAGCTCACCCATTAAAGTTATCGACAGAGGGAATTGTCGTGGAATGATAAGCCATTACGCATAAGTCCGTAAGACTGGTAACCTAACTTACCTGTAATCGGCACAAAATTCAAACTTGGACTCGTCCGGAAAGATATAGTTCCTTATATCTATATATATATGCCTTCATTGGACAACATTATTATGTGTACATTTTCTGGTTGCTTTAACTAAACTCCACTTTTAAATGTATATATCTTTGATATATATTAGAGGAGTTATTTGAGGTTTCTTGGAAACCGATGCACTCCTTGCCCATGTATACTAGGGACTTCTTTTTTTACCAACGCCTGGAGTGTCTAAGTGACGCCATTCTTTCTTGCCGGTTCCAAGCGTCCAGACGTGTCAATCTATGCCTGTATAATTTCACTTTCACAAGGCGATCTGGAATGTCTCAGTTTTTGCATATGCTTGGGATAAATCCTTTGTGAGGAGCTGGCAGAAGTTTCACAGTCCAACCAACACCACCAACCATAGACTAACCATCAACCAACCATAAATTAACCATAAACTAACTGTCAACCACCAGCTAACACCTGTGAAGGTTCCTGACATCATCAATATGCTGGAGCTCATAACCCAAACAGACTACCAGTGCTAGAGCTTAGTATAGCTCAAAGACCTTGTATGTCCTAACTGGTGATAGAGACTTGCTAAGTACCAGTACAGTGCTGTGTCATCTATGGTGAGATACTCTCTTACTACTTGATCCAGTGGAGCAGAATTCCCAGAGTCAAAGACAGTCGAATCATCCGGAGCTGAGGGAGGCATCATAGACAGAAAGAGGAGAAGCTAAGTTTGATGCTTCATGTGCTTTGTACCTCACAGCTCCTATGTTTCCCTATGATGACAACATGTCATTTCCAGGACCTACTGTCTGTGTAGTATCTTTGGTATCTAGACATTATTTTCTGAGATTCATCCACTGATAGCTGGGATTCACTTCAAGATTTAATGTATATATATATTACTGATTACATGCATTCATTTTCATGGCTGACTTAGGTTTCTCTATTTAACCTTTTTAAGTGTTTAGCAGTTGTGTGTGTATGTATCTTCATTATATGTGTTAACATGGTTATGATAATGAACTATCATAACCTGGGGGCTTTCTTTAGTAAGTAGTGGGGGTGTCCAGCCAAGTGTGCCTAGAAATATTGTATTCATATACTGACATATTTTGTAGTGCCTATACTTGAGTTGCCCTACTCCAGAGATAAGTTGAGTGTATATTGGCCACGGGGAATCCCTTAGACCAATACGAGCCAAACGACTCAACATAATTATCTCTGAGTGCTGTTGGTTCTGAAGGAGAAATCCTTACATTAGGCACGCGACAGGAGTGATATGTGACAGAACAAAATATCCCCAAAAATCTGTGGTCTCGTCGTGGGATTGTTTGTGTACACTGTCCAATCTTTAAATTTGCTGGTGATCTTGGCCAGGAGTTGTTCAGTGTTTGTTTTTTGTTAACACAGTTGTGACCATTCTGGGTCAGTTCTTAGATTATACTCCTAGGAGTGATTTGTAATCATTGTGGTGTTTTGTGGTGTCCAAGTACATTGGGTTAGGTACATCCTTGGTTGGTGGTGATAATTTAATCTATTGTTGATTATAATTACATTGTTGGTGACAATATATTTTGTTGTGGACTGTTAGATTGACAAGACAGCATGTCGCAGTCAAAAATTTCCATACAGGAATTGAAGGACATGGCTGTCCAGATGGGATTGGAGGGTAAGGAAATGACCGAGTGGATTAAAACCACGGAACGTGAGATGAGGATGGAAGCCCGTGAGGCAGAGAGACTCCGAATTGAATCTGAGAGGATTCGAGAAACTGAAAGATTCCGAATTGAGTCTGAGAGGGAGTCAGAAAGAATGAAGTTGGAACAGGAGGTGAAGTTAAGAGAATTGGAACTTCAGGCTCAGAGAGTGGGTAATTGACCCAGATCTCCAACACCTGATATTGATGGTGCATCAACGCACAGTAGCTCAGCTCAAGCGATGAACTTTCCTATGCCAGTCTTCGACCCGGAGGCTGAAAATATTGAACAGTACCTAGACCGATTTGGTAAATTGGCATCTTTGTACAACTTAGAAAGGAATATGTACACGCTGAAGTTGGCTCAAGGTTTGAGGGGTGAGGCATACGAGATTTATCAACGGATGCCCACCGGTACTGAGACTGATTATGATGCATTGTGTCAGGCTTTGCTGAAACGTTTCGAACTTAATGCTGCGACATACAGACAGAAGTTCAGAAATGAGAGAAAGATGACAGGGGAGAACTATCCTCAGTTCGCCAGTCGCCTTCAGGGATATTTGACCAGGTGGAGGGAAATGTCTGGATACTCCTCTTCTTTTGAAGATTTACAGGAGATGATCCTAACGGAACAATTCCGAGAGACATTACCTCGCCCGATGCAAACCGTCCTGACGGAGAATGGTGCTGACAGACTGAGTGAGATGTTGATGTATGCTGAGAGGTATGAGATGGCACATAAAGAAGTGTGTATAGGTGGGAAACCCAAGGCCCAGGGCCAAGGGAAAAATAATGGTAATGGTCATAAAACCCATCCAAATGAATCCCCTAAAAAGAATGCATCCCAAGCACAACCCCAGAACCACTCAAAAATTCAGGGAACACAACATAGACAACCCTTTAATGGCCCTAAAAAGCCTTACTGCCATATTTGTAAGAATAATAACCACTGGACTAAGGAATGTAAATCCAAACAGTCAGGGAATTTACAAGTATCAGCTTTGTTGTCTACTGTAGTACCTTCTACCCAGGAACTGTACAATGGTTCCAATAGGCCACCTGTGGTAGAGAGGGTCTGGGCTAATGGATATTCTTTAAATTGTCTGTATGATAGTGGTTTGTCATACGGCTGTGTGGTGAGGCCAGAGTTTGTAAAACCTGACCAGTATACTGGCAGATTCATAGAGCTCCAATGTGCCACATTGGATGCTAAACCTTTAAACTTGCCGATTGCTAAGATTAAGGTCCGTTCAAAGTATGTCTCGGGGGTAATTGAGGCTGCAGTGCTTGAACACCGTACCTTTGATTTAATTCTTGGCGCTACTTATGTATTTTTAGCAGAGCCGAAGAAACCTTCAGAGCATCTTGCTGCGGTAACCACCCGAGCACAGCATAAAAGTGCCTTAGAGGATTCTCCTCATGTAAATCCTCTTCCTGAGGAAATTAAGGTGGCCCAAAGTAGTGACCCAACCCTTAAGGCATGTTTTAAAAAGCTAACTGCAAGTAACAATCCCCCT